GGAATTTGATTTAAAGGAATTAGGGTTTCTTCCCCTGTGGCTGCCTATCCACAAAACTTAGACATTGGGATGCAGCTGTGCCAGCATAAAATGTTTTAGATCAGCAGAAATACTTACACACTGAAGAGAGAAAGTCATACTACTTTGAGGTACTCTTCCAGTATAAAAGTTGGATGTATTCCAGGGATTATACTGTTGGTTGGGTGGGGTTTTTTTTCATTAGGGTTTCTTCCCCTGTGGCTGCCTATCCACAAAACTTAGACATTGGGATGCAGCTGTGCCAGCATAAAATGTTTTAGATCAGCAGAAATACTTACACACTGAAGAGAGAAAGTCATACTACTTTGAGGTACTCTTCCAGTATAAAAGTTGGATGTATTCCAGGGATTATACTGTTGGTTGGGTGGGGGTTTTTTTCATTATTATTATTATTGCTTTTTTTTAAACTGAAGCAGTGAATTTTTATCAGTAAAGCTCTCATTAAATTATGAGAAAATGCTCACACTACCACAGTGTGTACTTTATGGTTTTCCATACTTGCACTTGCTCTGGGCAGGATTTCAAGGGCACCTGTAACCTATGCTTTCTTTAAAGTTTGGCTACTCCTCAACTGGAGGATGGAGAAGGAATAAATGGCATTCTGGCAGAAGTGAAGAACTTGGTCATCATTTTAAGACATTACCTACAGTTGACTGTGCAGATAAGTGGCCCAGTCTTTCTTTTCTTAGGTTTCAGATAAAACAAACACAACCATTAACACCGAAACTACAAGATTTCTAACACCCCAGCGAGATGCACAGATCAGCTCACAACTCTCAGAGCACTTCTAGCATACCTTGTAGACTTGGGCAGGATCACACTCCTGAATTTTTCCTGCAAATACAACTGCAACTTTTTTCTTTTCTAATAAACAAGCCATGCTGTGAGAGAAGTGCACTACAACCACCACCTCTAGCATTCAGGCTGTGGCTATAAACAGCTTCACATCATCACAAGGTCTAACCGAGGTTGGTGAGACTCTGTAAAATAGTATGGTTCCCTACAGAGAACCCCCTTGTGAGATGAAGGCGTGGCATCGTTACACCAGATTTTTTGCAAAATGTTCCATTCGGGTATTGTGCGACAGAGAGGGCTAAGGAAGTGGAGGAGTAATTTTATTCTGCATAAGTGCAATGAAAACTAGGTAAATAATCTCAGTGATATAGAGCATTTACCTGGAAGAGACCAACAAGCTATCTGCATTCTGGTCCAATCAGAGCAAACCAAAAAACAACAAGAAAATACGACTTCCAGTGAGGTAACCACGAGATGCTAAGAGCTCACTGGGATGTGTTCATGACATTGAAGTCAACGGGATTCAAGGCCCACAATTCTCCAAATACAAATTGCTGAGTAGGAAACCAAGGCAACAGGTAAACATCTCAGAATCAGGCACTGAAATTAATGAGTTAAAGATTAATTCACTCACAGACTGTGTGTACATGGTCACCTCATGGGGCCATCACCAGGAAGACAAGAGATCTTCTTAGAAGAACTGGCTCTACCTGAGGCTAATTAGCAGATATGCTGACTGTAAATAAAAGCAGGAGGTGGTAAACAGAAACGAATAGGAAGTTTGATGGGGCTCCCAACTGATGCTGTGTGTCAATAAATGTCAGTTGAAACTTACATGCTGCTTTTGTACTCTCTGAAAGAAATCATTATTATCACATTATTCTGTAACACAGTCTAACCTAATCTCCATGCGTTGTACTAGGGAAGATATTTTTGATCAACTCTACATTTGTTAATTACAAAACCAAGCATCTTGAAGTTACTTTGTTTTACATACAGAATGAAGCAGCTTATTTAAAAGTGCAAATTATAATATTCAGCTTTACTACCCATAAAACTAACAACTATTTCTTATATCCCAATCCAAATTAGTGACCCTTGTAAAAACAGTTTGTTTGAAAAACACCAGTGAGATAGCACAAACAGCTGTATAAAACAGACAAGAGACTGATATACACAACGGCAATTAGGCTTTTTAAGCACAGAAACACTTTTTTAATTTACCCTCACCATTTCCTAAACCTGTAGAAGATATACCCCTTAACTCTCTGGGTTTTGGCATGAGATTCTTTATATGTATTTTACCATAGCATTTTCCTTCACTGAGTCTTTCACAAATTTTCTGCCAATAAAGGGTTACCCATAAGAAAAGCTGGAGATATTCATTGTCCATTCTCTGCCCCCCACCCCCAAAAGTCCCACTGCAAGTTGGATTTTGTTTGTTGTTTCCTAATCCCCTCTCCCATTTAAAGACCTGATTTGACAAACCTTTTCTCAAGCAAGCAGACACTTTAAAGTAACCAGGATCACTGACAGGAGGATAGACTATTTTGCATGAGAAAGTTTTGCAGGATGTAATCTTCTCTTTTCCTTGAAGTTTAAGTAGTTACTACCTACTACTTAAATGAAAGAAATTTAATAGTCTCAGTCCAATTACTTGTGAACACATGTTTATTTTGCACCCAATTACTTCCCACAATTCTTCCAGTTTCAAAAGAGTGGACAGATTTGGCAACTCTACTTGCTTCTCACTTCTTGACACTATCATTAAGATTCAGATTAAGGCATACAAATGATGTGAGAGAGGCTGCACTATTCTTGCTATTCTTGACACACTTTAGAGACAGGATTATAATCTCTTCTTTCACTTCACAAAATTTTAAAATTCATTTTAAAAGAATTTACATATTTTCACTGCATTTTTAGGAAAACATAGACATAATTTTTTTTGCTACTTTTTCCAACTCATGAATTCTAATGTACTAAAATTTCTTCCTTATACAATGATTACTTGAAGTAAAGTTAATTGACTGTGTAGCACTATGCTTCAAAAAGTATTTGGATTCCACACATGAACAGCTGGAAAATGGTACCATAGGAGCTCACTCTTATACTTCAATATTGTGCTTTCTTTTCTCTATCCTCTTTCCCGCCATTTTGGTACTAGAATGATGAATCTCTTTCTCAAGAATACTCAAACTATTTCTTCCTTTCAAACATTGTCTGGCTATTATCTTTTCTTGCAAATATTTATTTAAAATAATTCTAAAATAATAACAGGGAAGAGGGAAATTACTGGTCATCTACTGACAATGTACTATAATCAAATTCTGCTGACAGAAATTTGAAGGAAAAATTTATACCTTGTCAGGAAAAGAAATAAAAGAGACCCCATCTATTTTCGTCAATATAACTACCAAGTAAACTTAAGTACACAGGAGTATAACTAGATATATCTACTTTCAGGTAATCATAAAACTTCTGAAGAGTTTATTAAAAATATAGAAAAAAATTAGCTGCTGTCTTACAAAACTAAGCATAGGCTCATATACAGATTTGATCGTTAATGCCTGTGAAGGCTAAAAAAGCATAGTATTGCTTAGCAGCCATGAAGCGATCTAAATTAAATTGCCATGAAAACAAAGTTAAAAATATCTGGAAAGATATTTCTGTAAGAGTGCTAAGATGCAAAACAAGCAATAAAGAATAACAATCAACTTTTGCTTAAGAAACACCACATGTTGCCAGTTGCTGATAGATTCTGGCTGCAAACTGCATTCTGACACTGAACTAATGACAGAACATAACACGTACTAAAACTAATGTAAGTCATATTAACAATTTTCCTCCCTGAATTTCAATATTCACTTTGTTTTCTCTTCTTGTCTTAATACAAAGTCCAGTGAACTCTACAGGAGTCTTACACTAATGTTCTACCCACCAACTTTGGAAGAACACTCAAAAAGGCTCACAGTTGTACTTAAGACAGTTGTAGCAAATTCTTACTGCTACAAGAAGAAATGAAAGAGAAATGGAAGCTGCAAAAGCAAAAAAAAAAAAAAAAAAAAATCAACAGGAAGCTTGAGACTCCAGAATCACAACCTATTCAGATGAAATTCTCTATCCCCATGCTCATATCTTTTGTGATTGGCTTACACTTTTCTTGGAGGAAGGAATTTCATTTGCTGAATTCCAGATTGCCAAAGCCCACATTTACTCATTTATCAGTGTACTTTTCCTTACCCAATGATGGCTATGCCAAATCAGATCAAAGGTCCGTTTAGCTCAGTATCCTGCTTCCAAAAGCAGCCACAAGTCAGAGCCAAGAGAAGACAGCATCAGCAAAGAAATCAAATACAGCATTTTCCCAGAATAACTCCCCAGCCTTCAACTAGATTCGACTCAGGAATTCCTGAGACTGATGTGATTTATCTGTTTAGCTTGCCCAATGGGTCTTCTCTTTCAAGCACTTAGCCCATTACCCCTTAAACTCACATATACTGTTTGCATCCACAACATCCCAAAGCAAGGCTACCTTGGGCAAAGAACTAAGAACCGTATCACAGCGATGCTATGTTTTGTGCACATTCAGTGTTCAGTGGATACAGCTACTCACATTTGCTTATTAAAACCAAGCCAAAATAAAAAAGCAAGATTGACACTCCCCTTGAAAGAAACTTTGAGTTTGCACATATCCCAGCAAGTTGAGTCCAGTGGGAACTAGCATTCTGAGCGCAGTACAATGCTGCAATAGCAAGAATTATAACAAGGTTGCATATAGCTGGAAGAGCAGGCAGATGTCATGAGTGAAAAAACAGACACCCTAACAAAAGCAGCAAAAAACCTCTGTGAGCCTCCCTCAGTCCAACAACTGAATTTTGATCCAAGAAGGTTAAATACAAGGCTGCTTGAAAATTTTCCACTGCATCCATTTTTGATGGGAAACAAGGCTTTCAGCTAAACACCTTTTGGTTGGATTTTTTTTTTTGGCATGTCTAAGTATGTGCTTCTGCAAATATACTTTTCTTACCAAAAAGCCAAACTTACAAACCAAAATATTTTGATTGAAAACAAAAAATGTTATTAAGAAATGCTAGTGAAGCATCTCATTAAATCTGTGGCTTACCTGCTTTATGTGGCAGATCTCCTCTATCAACTAAACTTACCATTTAAATGACAACTCCGGTAATAGATCACTTTGAGGGATTCCCTACTTTCAGCACTCCCTTCAAAGAGGAAAGATGATGGCACAATGTCAAAGGTGGTAGGCAGCCTCAGCCTTGCAGAACAGGACCAGTAGGCATCCAGATGATAATGTCAGACGAGGACTACAGTAACATTTTTCAAATCAAGAAGTTTTAGTTTTCAGACAAAGCCTTCCAATCCTCTGAATTCTGTCAAAGCATGTAGTTTTTCCTGGAAAATTAAGACAAAAATGAAAAAAGCTTTGTATTTTTAACCAAAAATTCATGCAGGAAATTTCATGGGTCAAGCAAGGTCTTATTCATTAACCTGCAGATTCAAACCTAGCACCTGGATCCATCCATACACAAATCAGAAAAACTTTAAAAACAGTAAAATGTTTCAAATTTTCCATAGCAGGACTGTTAGCAGGACTGTTCAAAAGCCAAGGAGCTAAAACCAAACAAAAACAATAAGGGCTCATTAGATGGGATAACTTAGTGAATGAGCCCTAAGTTATAAAAGACCAACCAGCCTTACATACAAAAGCAAAAGCAAAGGATGAAGATAAGATTCAAACAATGGCTACACTTACTAGGTAAGAAATCCGTAATACAAAAAATTTGTATAGCAAAATTGGCAAAGTGGCAAGAAAATGAGATGTTCCATTTATTATTCCCTTTCAGGGCTTCAAATTCAGTGAATTAACCAGAAGGAATAAATTTGATAAGGCTAATGCAATAAAAAGTCAGAGTAACAGCTATCCCATTAGGGCCATTATCACCCCTTTTCTTGGAACCCCACAATCCACTGGAATAACTGAAAGCCTCTCATCCAGAAACAGGCCCCGACCAGACCAAGACAGAGAAGCACCCAACTAATACTACCAGGGAGAATGTTAGAACTAAATTTCTAACATCCATCTCTTCCCTTGTGGCTGATTCCTGCCATACAATTGCGTCCCCCCCACCCCGAAGGCAAAATAAATGTGTAATAAATAAATAAATGTAAAAGAAATAAAAGACAAGAAATCAATCAAGACTGCATCTTTTGTAACACTGTTGCGAGCCCACAAAAGACAACTGCAAAAAATCTCATACCGGTGGGATACTATTTTCTTTTTCTCCACCACACACACAGGGGACTATTACTGCCATCATTAGCACCGACTAAGAACCAAGAAAATTCAAAGGAACTGGCAAAGGAATATCCTTATTAAAAACTCAGTGGGTAAAACGAAAGGAAGGACATTTTGCTATTACAGTGAAATTCCTCTCAACACTTTGCTTTTCAATCACACCATTCTTTTACTAAAATAAAAATAGAGAAAGGTTTTTAAGAGCGAGTTTCTGCTGAGACTAGGCACCTGAGAGTTTCCTGTAAGCCGTTCCAAACACTGCCTAATGCTGATTCCCTGCACAGAGTTAACATCTTTGACTGTCTAATGTTATAAAGTGAAAAGTGCTAACACGACTTGTCATTCTCAAGGCCAATTTGTTCATCAAAATTAGCACAAGCCCAAGCCTGCTGTCCTTATTCGTATTTGGAATCACCAGCCACTTATGTGTTGTCCCAGCAAAATTAGCACAGTTGAAGGATTAGTCAGGATCTAACCCCAGAGATAAAAAATTTGTTTAGAGTAAATGAAATACAAAGAATAAATATTCAAAATGAGTGATGAAAGATATGTTTGTTATTCCCATTTTAACTCCAGGGCAATGAGTAATTTCAGTAAGAACTTCTCAGTGTGATTTTTATCGTTCAGTATTTTAAAAATTACTACTGTGCATCCTCCATCAAAAGTTGGGATTGGAAACAGTGAAACTTAAAAAATGTGCACTTCAAACATGTATGTAAAACGTTATTCCCTTAAATTATGCTATTACTGATTTACAAGTAAGTAAGTAAGTAAGTCTGCAAAAAGCAGTGTCAGAATTTATGAACAACTTTGTATTGTTCAAGGATTTAATGACACACGTTCCTCTTCAAATCACAAAGTTTCACTTTCTCATATCTGGGTTTTATCCTTATGCATGCCTTTCAATGCAGAGAGTAATTTTTCCTTCAGTTCACTTCTTACTCATAAGTGCATCACCTCATTAATTTCTCATTTAATTTACAGCATGTGAGAGGGCATACATGTAAGCTAATGTCTCCATACAGTTTATGCAGAAGTCAGTAAATCAAACTGGACTACACTACCTAATCTTGTCCCCACATCAACTCAGATAGCCCAGGCTAGCCTACTGCTGATGGGGCATCCTTAGCTCAAAGCCTTTCATATCTACTTCTTTCACCTCTACTTCCACCGGGCTGGATCAGCTAGTAGAGAGCTGCGCACAGGCTGGGCTAGATTTCTTGCCAGGAGTCCCATGGCACCTTGCAGCGTGGCAACCGAGCCGCGCCGACTCTGATTTACAGTATATGAGAGAGAACCCTGCACTCCCCAGTTTCTCTGTTGTGGTTCTTCCTTATACCCTGTCAGCATCGATACTCAGAGCTGGTAAGAGTTACTTGTGCTATTACCCTGTCCGCTATCACCTAACTCAAATATAGATGTCACGAAGTTAAGTAGGTCAAGTTAATAGACAGAGCCCCCTTAACTCCTCCAGTAGATCTGACATCAAAGACCAGATACATGCGTGCCATACCATCTTAAGGCCAGATTGTAATTTTTATTTGGAAGCTGCCCACCCCCGATGGCTGCGGCTCAGTCAGGTAAGCCAGGTGGCAATGCAGTAGCAGTGGATATTTACCAGAAGCTTTGCAGGGGTTTATACCCAAGTTGTTAAAACTGGGGTCTCCAAAACTGAAGACTGACCAAATGGACATCCCAACCCATGCTGGAAGTAACGATGGTGCATGTGCCATTTGAGCATGTATAAGCATTAACGACATTTTGATGGAGCATGGGGAGAGAATCACAAATATGACCACAGAAGTCACTGGCGTGCTGGAGGTCTGGACACGCTTTGACTTTTAGGAGAGAGTGGTGCATGTGTAAGCTCTCATATTATCGCCAGAGACCAAACCTCTCCTTGCCAGCCTGGATCCACATAACCTTCCCGAGATTCAAAGAGCGCACTTACATACTAATATTCTAGCAGTTGCCAGAAAGTAAATTAATGGTTACCCGGGCAATCAGAGGAAGACAACACTACTCACTATGTCCATACATACGTAATACAGTTAGCAATTTAACTGCATGACATTTGTATTATTCTCCAAATACGGTGACAATGAATCAATGGACTGTTTAACTCAGGCCAATTTGTCTTCAAAAGTCACATGATTTATCATGTGTGAAACATCACACCATGAGGTGTTACAATCTGTACCACAGGTAGATTATAAATAAAGCTTGCTAAATAATGGGCAAAAACTAAAAAGTAATATTAAGGAAAATGCAAAAGATTGCCCTCAAGAACACATTTTCTTTCATAATCCTTATAATCCGTATTTTCTTGCATTCCTTCTTCCTGCATTGTTTCACTAATGAGAAATGAAGCAATATATATGATTACACTGAGTGAGCCGATATATTGCATCCCAATCATCAACTGCATAGTGTGGGAGAATAAAGGTAAGCCCTTCCATACACGTTGATCTTATGTTGCCCTCATGCTAAACTGCTGTTCCCACTGACTTCTCACGCTCATTCTGCTGCTCGTGCTGCTTCTCTAGTGAAGCCTACACATCCAAAGCAGCCTCGGGAAGAAGTCTAATCATAGCCTGCTCCTACATTCAGCAGAAAATCCTCCAGCCACATTCAGTGCCACAACCTGCAGCTTCACTGTTGGAGCAATCCTCAGAACACAGCACCGATCAATTACTTTGTCATCCTCCTTTATGATAAAGGGACACCAAAGTACTCCTCCAGCAGTTTCTCCTCCTTCTCTGCCACCTGCTCACTGCACTCCAGAAGTAGCTACTGCAGCAGATTGTATTCAGCCTATTTTCTTTTTGCCTAAAGGCGCTCTCACGTCTCGCTGATCAACAGTAGCATCATGGTACTGTGCCCATCCACGATCAGATCTGACAACCCTGAAAAGATGTAATCATGAATCACAATAAAATACAGGCTGCCTCAGAAGATGTGTCAATGCCATTTAATTTTTTTGTGAAAGGAAAAATGTCTATCAAAATATAAGATATATATGCACGCTGCACTCTCCCATCCCTATTTCTTTGCACGTTTCACAGTGCTGGACTTTTACTCATAATTTCTGCTTTGCAGACTTGCAGAAGTACAAATCAATGAGTTCCTTCCCATACTTGGACTGCCCATCACGTTGCTCAGTTCTGGACTATATGTGGTATGCAAGAGAAAAGGACGGATTGGAAAAAAACAGTTTCTCTTACTTTTAACTGGTACTTTTTAGGGAAAAGCTGAACACAGTAAGATGCCACAACTCCACCTTATGCTGTCCACTAACTTGCCTGTAAAAATACTCTTTCTTCCTGCTCCCATTTACCCTGTCCTCAAAAAGTTCCAGTTTCTAGTTCCATGGTGTTGTTCAATGTATTGGCCATGCAAAATCCCCCATGTCTTGTAGCTAACCAGCATTTGCGTAGACAGTCTCTGGATAAAGCTCTGTGGCCTGCGATAGGAAGGACATCAGCCTAGACAGCCCCTTCTGGGTTTAATCCATGAAATTACTGTCTTCAGTCAAGGCTTCATTCTAACAAGATTATTTGAACAATTTCCATGGACTGAGTTCTTCTTTTCAAACATTTTTACAAAAGCACCATTCATTGACCTATCCAACGCAGACAATGCAACACTAAAATTTACTGGAGAACATTAGGTAGGAATTAAAAAGCAATTTTTCAATCTTATAAACTAAACACCTGTATTTTTAAATAAACAAAATACCATTTTAAATCCTAGATTTTATGTGGTATTTTTCTTTCCAGAAAAAAAAAAAACATCAAGAGCCAATTTACTAATCTTGAACTAAAATGCCCTGTAGTTACCATTACCTGCTTTGGTGTGATCCATATAATCCCAGCTGCAAAGCCTTAGATGCACACAAAAATCAAGCTCATGTTAGAGGGGCCAGTGACAAACCTAAATGTTTGAATAAAAGAGGCATGAATACCTGTGGCAACAAGACTTGTAGAAGTGTCATCTACTTGTCAAATCTATAGGTTTGCAAAAGGTTGTAGTATCTGTAACATTCTTGCCGGCTTTATATTTCTGCATGATTTGATTTTGAAATCCCTGCAAAAAGTGCTCTAGCGTAATCTGTATTGCTATAGCAAAGCTCAGTTCTTCAGAAGAAGCAGCTGCTGTATTTTCTGGAATAAACACACAAACCATTTTAGAGACTTGACCCTTGATTCCTTCATCTCAGTACTTCTACTGACTTCAGGGAAGTCTCAGTATATGAAGAACACACAATGGGCTGTGATTCCACAGCCTTGAGCTATGCAGGCTGTTTTTCAGTCACATAAAGTCAAGCAGCCTCCCCACAGCTGTGCTGTTTTTATATACCTGAAAGACAATTTCAAAAATTATCATGGTCTTACTAGGGAATTTGGATATGCAGTCATTACTAAATTGCCATAAAGTACCGTATTACCAATTTTGTCATTACTGAACAGCTTCAAGACACACAGTATCTTTGTGCTGCATCTCTTCTCACGCTGTAAGAAAACAAGAGCACATGAACGACACTAAAAATGAAGCCAAGTGTACTGCTGAGAAACTTAGTATTCTCTTATTTCTAGGAGAGTTATAGTGTAATTCTAAACTGTAGCATTCAGCATGTCTCCTGAGTTTCCTTGCTGAAATACTGCAATGGAAATTTTACAGCATCTGTGTTGCTTTTGGAAGCCATCACCTCACATCTGCTGTCTCTGTAGTGTAGAGCTTAAGTTCAGCGAAAAAAGGTACTTTGTAATAGGCAATAGGAATCCTGACGGGGCGGTAATTTACAGACTCACCCAGCTCTCCTGACTAGACCCACTCGTTTTTGCATTCTGTAGAGATTTTTAAATAAGGTACTCTTCAAGCAGCCAACAGCGTAACAGTCACTTCTTAAAATGGAGCATCACATCCAGGACTGGAAAGAGACTTTTTAAACCTCTGTCACTCACGGAGATCTCGGCCCGATGACGGGTTTTTCATTCCGTTTTCTTCACCGGACATCGTTCAATCTCCTAACACTTTTCAGTAGGGTATTAACTACATTAGCACTAAAATAACCATCTGCTACTTCTGGAAAAGTTCTGGTTTTGACCAGAAATAGTAATACGTATGTAGAAGGGGAACGGATTTCACAGCCCGGGACGTGAAACACGGAGGAGCACGGCCACGTCCTCCAAGCACTTCTCTGTCGAGCCTTCCCTCAGGTGGGCGCTGGGGTCGAGAGAGGGGTTTTGCAGATCACCGCAATGATTACAACACTAAACGTGTTTATTGCCCCATTATTGCCCATTTCCTCCTAACGGGGTAATCCGCGTGTTCATTTAAATAGAGAGACAGGCAGGAGCGGAGAGCATCCTGTTAGCACAGCCAACAAACTTGGGATCGCTTTTTTGCTTTGCCTCGTGCGTTTAATTTCCTCCCGCCGCCCGCGC